AGGGAGCGAGAGGAGGGAGCGAGAGGAGAGAGCGGGAGGAGGGAGCGAGAGGAGGGAGCGAGAGGAGGGAGCGAGAGGAGAGAGCGGGAGGAGGGAGCGAGAGGAGGGAGCGAGAGGAGGGAGCGAGAGGAGAGAGCGAGAGGAGAGAGGGAGAGGAGGGAGCGAGAGGATGATGATCATCAAAGGTTAGATATACGTTACATATTAGTCATTTTAATCAACATGTATGATGATGATCATCGTCATCGTTGCTGGGCTGTGCGCCTAGTGAGAGACAAGGAGCGTGGACTCACATGAATATTTATTATATATGATTCATCATCGTTGCAGGGCCACGTGGCTGGTAGGGCACGGTTATCGCTCATTTATACATAGGTTTTCCATTATATATTATATATTATATATCGCCGGTGTGGTTGCAGGGCTGTGTGCCTGGTGCAGTACAAAAGGCGTTGTCATCACTCGTGTGGATATACGTTATATATTATATATTATATATCGCCGGTGTGGTTGCAGGGCTGTGTGCCTGGTGCAGTACAAAAGGCGTTGTCATCACTCGTGTGGATATACGTTATATATTATATATTATATATCGCCGGTGTGGTTGCAGGGCTGTGTGCCTGGTGCAGTACAAAAGGCGTTGTCATCACTCGTGTGTATATACGTTATATATTATATGTTATATATTACATATCGTCGCTGTGTGCTTGCAGGGCCGTGTGGCTGGTGCGACACAAGGAGACGAAGCAGCGCTTTGCGTTGAAGAAGGTGAACAAGCACAACCTGATCCTGCGCAACCAGGTCGACCAGGCCTACGCCGAGCGTGACATCATGACCTTCACCGACAACCCGTTCGTCGTCACCATGTTCTGCACCTACGAGACAAAGGTAACGTCACAGCAGCGCGCGCCGTTGCACTGATACAGCAGAGAGCGGATCCTCAGCACAGGGGGGGGGGGGCAATGGGTTACCTCACCCACCATTCAACCCCCCAACGATCTACACATCGTTATATCTATCTATATCTATCACTGTTTCATGCCGTTGTCCGCGCAGCGATTACCGGGGCCTGAGAGGGGCGCTCTCGAGACTCGTGGCGGTTCGTAACGATCGCAGCCAGGGGGCGCTTCCTTGCGCACTGTCCGAGAATATCTGTGCGTGCCCGCAGCAGTTGTTAACAGGGTTTCTGTGCGCATCGTCAACTATTTGTAACCGGCGGCGCTTTGTTCCGTGCGCATCCGTGGCTATCGTCAATAGAGGGCGCTGTGTCGCACGGCTAGTCGCGCACTCACAGCATCCTCCCAGCCCTCGCTAACAGGCGACGCCGCCTCTCTCTTTCTCTCTCTCGCCCCGCGCGACCCGCAGCGCCACCTGTGCATGGTGATGGAGTACGTGGAGGGCGGCGACTGCGCGACCTTGCTCAAGGGCATGGGTCCGCTGCCGCTGGACATGGCGCGGCTGTACTTCAGCGAGACGGTGCTGGCGCTCGAGTACCTGCACAGCTACGGCATCGTGCACCGCGACCTCAAGCCGGACAACCTGCTCATCACGAGCGAGGGCCACGTGAAGCTCACCGACTTTGGGCTGTCGAAGATGGGGCTGATGAGCCTGACGACGAACCTGTACGAGTGCAACCTCGACAAGGACACGAAGCAGTTCACCGACAAGCAGGTGAGAGTGTGTGGGTAGGTGTGTAGGTGTGTGGGTGTGTGGGTGTGTGGGTGTGGGTGTGGGTGTGTGTGTGTGTGTGTGTGTGTGTGTGTGTGTGTGTGTGTGTGTGTGTG